TATTTCCATTAAAATTTTTAAAATAACTAACTTTAATCTGTTGATATGGTTTCCATTTCTAAACCTTAATCAGTGGTCCTGTACTGCCCAAACAAAGCATATTTTCTGGAAATACACTGGATGTTAAACTATTAGAACAGAGACATAGCAATTTGATACCCAAACTAACATGAAGTGTGACATTATTTTGTGATCCACTCCATGCAACTCATAAAAAGCATCCTTTTTCAAGTGTTTTTATTGATTTCTTTGCATTTTTAACATCCTGCCTTGTTCCAAAAGCATTTCGGGCAGTTTGCCAGAAGAACACATGTACTTAAATTATTACAAAATAATTTAGGAATAGAAGTAGGAAGTCAGAATGAAGGAAAATAGACAGCAAATAGTGCAGTCAGAATGTTAACTGTAGTTCACAATTAGAGTAGCTAAGTTTCAAATTCTGAGCTTCTTGGCTACCACAGTAAATCTTTGCTTGGTGGGGGGTGGTGTTTTTCTTCAATCAAAAAATGGAAGCATAAATTTCTTCAGAAAGAAAACTTTTCCTACACTGAATTCTCTTTTTAAAACAATATCATATGGATTTTATATCAGAGAAAGCTGGGTACTGTTGCAGGTAGGAATGTCAACAATTTCCCAATAAACGCAGTAATGAATTTCATATTGATGTTTCTTGTAGTCCCCTTCAATAAAAGCTGAAGGCAGTACATTAACATACAACTCAGTGAAGGCAATTCTTCAAGGAGCTAAGCTAATATGGCCCAAGTACATAGCTTTCTCATGGCCCAGTTTAATCCAAGGAAAGACTTTAGAGTACTTAGAGAAGTGGATGGACTATATAACCTCCAAACAATCTTCTGTAAGTATCACTTTTCTCAGCCAGGATGGTTAGTAAGTAGTTAATACCATTGTCTGACCAGGGAGCCTGTTGCTGTTTTATAGGTACTGGGCTTTCCAGTAGCCACAGTGACTGTAAAAGAGCAACATGCTATGTAAAAAGAGCATAGATTTACTGCTTTGGAGACCTGGTGTTTTCTCCAAAGCCTGTTGTACCTAGCGTTATATTTACAAAAGCGCCTTGCTCTAATGGACAAATCTGAGATTCTTTCCAACTCTCAAACCGTGTGATTGCTATTTTCATTTATATGCCAGGTCACTTCACTAATAAGGAGCTAAAGCAACCACTCAGGTTATTAACACACTACTTTGTCTAACATTATAAGGAAGCCAAGATTGATTTGACAGCATGGTATAAGACATTCAGATTGCTGTAACCAGAAAATTTCCAGTCTTGAATTTTTAATTATGTATTTAGAACTCTAACAGAATAATAAGCTCAGAATATTCTGAGTTCTGTAAAACATCATTTTAAAATTAGAACTTAATTACTGTGGGTTATATTTCCTTTTCATTCCACTTCAGTAGCAGCATCAACAAATACCATAGCAGCATAACTTACATTTTCCCCAGGTAGGGTATAAAAATACATTGTTTATTGATTTTGTTCATAAGCTATATTTGCCCCTTTCCCACTTGCATGTCTCAGTCACTAGTAAAGCTTCCAGAAACATTGTTTTAAAGTTGAGCTTATTTTATGATTTCCCAGTCTCTTACCTTTGTTGATGGTAGAATTGAGAACTTTCAGGAGAATTACATAATAGGCATGTAGAATAAACTATTGAAATCTAATATTTTTATAATAATAAAATTTTATTGTATTTTACAAAAACCTAATGTTCATATATATATACGAATATGTGTGTATATATATATATATATATGTATGTATGTATGTATGTATAAAATCAGAGTAATCATTCTACCATTCATTTACCATTAACCAAACATTTTTGGAGCTTGCTAGGATCTCTGCATTGTTTAGTTTATGCCTTCAAGGATCTTACTTGTAAGGCATAAGGTGGAACAGGAAACAAGGTGTGAAAAGTGTACATACATGCCATTATAGAGACAAGCACTAGGGTGCTGTGGAAGCACATGCAAGGCAGACTTATTGGTGTAGGAAGTGATGTCTCCACAGATGTGATTCTGAGCTGAATCCATGTAAAATATATCAGACAGAGGGGACCAATGTGGATTGATCACCAGCTCTTGGCACTTTTGTGGTACTATTCACAGGTTGGGGAATACAGGTGGGTATACAGATTTAGGTTGGGGTTTAAAGTAACCTTGATTCATTTCTGGATATTTTGTTTTAAACACCTGTGGAATACGTAGGTGAAGAAGTTCAGTGAAACACAACGTGTAAGGATTCTGGTGTTCTGAGTTGTCTGTGCCTCCGCTCTAGAGCCTGTTACGTATTTTCAGTATCGCCTGTGCGTTTATTAGCAATGGAGGGTATTTAAGTGGGAGGCAGAAAGGATGCTGGTAAGTGTTAGTACAGACTTCTATCTGTAGTTCCCCTTGGAACAAAAAACATTAACATTTTATGTTTCTTTGTCTAAAGTCCAAACCGTATACCATAATTCCTAATACAACTTATTGTAAATGTTCCTCTTCCACAAAACTTTCCTTGAGCTCTTCTGTACCGTGTTTATGTCTTCTTCCAAAAATATAAAGTACATTTTTAAATCTTATATGTCAGTAATCATTGTCTAGATTGTAATTAAATTATAACTTTCACTACTCTCTACTAAGGAGCTGTTTTCTAATGTGATTGAAATACAACTATTAGTCACTTTGATTCTCCCAACAGTTCAGGATGGCTTGGGTATAAGTATCTCCCTTTTTATCCAACTAGAAGCTGAAACAGGGATATGTTAAGAAGTATTCTCAAGTCCCAAATGCTTTATAAGTACAATTTGATGTTTTAAATGATGCTTGGGTAGGGCTGAAATAATATAAACACTATATGTTACATACTCTAGGGGTTTAAGAGTCATTTCAGAAGATTGAGGCAGTAACACAAACTTCAATTAGAATATTTTAGGGAAAGTACTTCCAGGTTTTAAACAGCTTCCCCAGCGTGAAAGTCACATAGCATGCTGTTCATAGTGGAGGTCGGAATTCTCACACACCTAGGTTTGTGTGCCTTTTCATCCACTTCATTGACAAGAGATCGGGCCATGCCACGAAACCTCCTTAGCCTCCCTTTCTGAATTTGTAACACGGGGCTAATAATAGAGCTTACTTCTCACCCATTAGTGAAGTTTGTCACAGATGACACCCCCAGGCTCACCATTCAACCTGACATGGCTTAATAATGCTCAAAAGTTGTTCGCTATTATCTCAGCAGTTACCCACTAGTACATCACCCTCCATTTGTCACATGGTAACTGCAAGTGCCACGACAGAAGAAATGCTCTTTTTTTTTAGCTTTTCATAAAAATACAAATGGTAGTCCCTCACCCCATTTCCTTTTGTACTCCAGGCAGGTCTGGAAGAACATCTCATCAGCAAGGGAAAAGGAGAGGGAAAAGCCCGATGCCAGTGAAGGACAGAAAACCCAGGCCTCTTTTCAGATGTCCTGGCTTTTCAGAGGCCTTTTCATATTTTATTTTACTTGAACACTTTGAGAATTTTTAATGCAAAGTAACTGATGCTCAAAATTCTGTTCTAGGCCAATTGGTCCTCTAAATCTAATCAATTGACTATACTATTCACTATTTTGCATAAGTCTTTGCTGGCTAATTTTGTTCACTTTGTGATAACTAATAATATTTAGTATTTATACTAGTGGAAAGTACAGGTAAATACAGTTTGTATTTTCCAGTTTCATTAATTCAGTACATATTATGTGCCTACTCTATGAAAGGCATCATGGTAAATGCTAAGTTACAATGGTGAGCAAGCCAGAAGTAACAGCAGCCTTCACTGAATATAGATTCTAATGAGAAAGAAGGATGTCAATAAAATAATCACACAAAAGAAGAAATTTACACATTTTAAAAATGACCATGATGGGAATGGAAATTAAATAAGCTGGGTGTTATGAAAGAACACGTTTGGGACCAAGGACTATGGTAGTTAAAGTGGTTAAGGAAGGCTTTTTTGAGGGAATGATGTTTAAACCAAGATCAACATATGAGAGGGAATGGGTTGCAGGAAAATCGGAACGTGGGGTAGGGTGAGGAAGTGGCATGGCCCAAGACCCCAAACAAGGAGATATTTTGCAAACTAGAGCTATTTCAGTGGCACTGGTATATGATAAGCAGAAGAAAAAAGCCATGGTAAGATCTGTTGGTTTTATTCTAGGTTCTATGAGATAGTATTTAACAGATTTAAGTGGAGAAGTGACAGGATCCAGTTTATGACTTAAATCCCTGGGGCTATAGTGTGTCTAATGATTGGGCGAGGCCTAGCAGGCCTGGGAGAGCGCACAGGGATATGCCCATTTGTACAGGCAGGAGACAGAATGACCTGGACTAGAGTTAGTGAGAACTGAAATGAGGATCCTAAGGAGAAACAGGTGGTGGATGAGCTAGCAAAAATCAAAAAAGTTTGTATTTCATTTTCCTTCTTCTGTTTTAGTGTTGATTACACCACCATCTGTATGTGGTTACAAATTTTCACCGTCTGAGTAAAGCATTGCTGTTTGCCATGAAGCGGGGAAATCCTGCTGTCAACTTAAAGAAATTAAATGTCTTTCTTCAGACTTCTCGATCATTCATGGTAGATGATCATGGTAGATGATCATTCCTCTTGTTAAAGTATTTCTACATTTCATGTATTCATTCACTCATTCATAGAACAAATATTTGAGTTACTTGTAATAGTCAAAATTGTCATTTGTTAAAGTTGCATTTGTATTGCTTCCCTGTGAACAACAAAAACATAGCTCTTTGGGAAAATGGTACTTTTGGTTACTTTGGGGTTCCCTCACCCTCATGGTTTTAGGACTTCACACACCCCTTTCATTTATTTTCCTAAATTCCTCCTTTCTAATGTTTATCAAGATACTTTTCTTCAGAATTTGAACTGGAGTTTGGAACATGTTAAGCAGCAGACTCAACCCACATTCTGTTAATTCTTGTATTTTTCAATAGAAAAAAGAGAAAGCCTCTGTCATGATACAGAACAATGCCTATGCAGTGGCTGTTGCCAATTACGCCCCGAATCTTTCCAAAGACCCGGTTCTCTCCACCATCTCCAAGAGCGCGACCACACCGGAGCCCAACAAGAAGCCAGAGAACAAGCCCGCTGAAGCCAAGAAAACCTTCAACAGTGTTAGCAAAATTGACAGAATGTCTAGAATAGTTTTCCCAGTTTTGTTTGGTACATTTAATTTAGTTTACTGGGCCACATATTTAAACAGGGAACCTGTATTAGGGGTCAGTCCCTGAATCTAGACACAGGTTAACTTTGGGATGTATAACACCATTCAGCTTGGTTTGTTTTTGCTATGTACAGTCTGACTAATAACTGCTAATTTGTGAACCAACATGTATAGTATGTATATAGCAATATAGCTAAACAGTACACCTCTAATGGAGACACGCATTTGCTAACTCATGGAACTGTAGGCTGGAAGCACCCCATGCCCGAATCAAGATTGACCCTAGGAACTGGTTTTTAAGGTGGATTTCAGGTGACATGATTTCTTTCCTCTTCTAATAGTGATGACAATAGGGATCCTATGCCACACTTTATGAACCCTTTTGATTTAAGTCTTATATAGGAGTGTTTTCTACTGTTGCCTAACTGTAATGTAAGACGACACTGTCATTGCAAGATAAATTCTTCTAAATAACAGGACCACATTTCTGCAACAGCAGCCCCTTCCTGAGCACTCAAAATCCCTCCTAGCATAATTGGAAGCTTAGCACACATCAGAGGAAAAAACTAGAAATTTGACAAAAGCTTTTAATTATTCTATAGAGTATCTATAGCCATGTGCATATTATAGCATGATAAGCTCAAATAATTATGAATAACCCCTGCCAGGATGTTAATTATGCCTAGAATATAGAAACTCCTGGAATGTCATGGTCATTACATTTTTAGCATCAGAGTTTATTTGAAAGTGATCATTGAAATCCCACGGATCATTTTAATCATTGGAAACTACCTTAAATTTTAGAAAGTAAAATTAAATGTGTGTTACACTTTCCAGGTTTGTGTTGTATTGAAACCAATGAGCTAAATTTTCTTGGTGCTGGGGACTGGAAAAAGCATCCAGTTTGGCTGCTGCAGAGCAACACTCATATTGGATTAGAAAACTGTGCCAAAAACTCCCACCAATGAGAATTCATAGGTGTCACAGAGAGTAGACGAACACTTATATGATTCTCTTCTTTCCTGTTTACTGCAAATTCTGCCTTAAGGCTTCTTTTCATCAGGACTCAGAAGCCACTAATCACAATGGAAAGGGCAGTTCATTGGCACATTTTTCTGTCTTGAAAGCAGCACTTTCAGATAAGAATTATTGTAAATCTGCTTTTGTAAATTGCAACTTTAAATTTTGCTGACCCAAATTTACAACAGCTTTGTATACCAGAAGAGGTTTTGGTAAGAGCTGAACATTTTTAAACTGAAATTACAAAGGATCACCAACAAATTGTGAATTCACATGCACAAATGTAACGTGCACAATTAGTTTAATTAGAACAGGTACACAAACATGTAGCTAAATTAAAACCCAAAATTTTCTACTTTATATAACTACTAATTATTAATGGGTAAAATTCATTTTCCTTTTAATATTTAAGAAGTATTCTGTATGCCCCTCACATATGTTAATAAAAGTTAACAATTGTGTCTTACGCCTAGATTCAGTGCTTTTGGCAAACTTAAGATCCTTTTGATTCACAAATAATACATTAGCAGTTATTAGTTGACTTTTACTACTAGATACACCTTTATGATGGTGTTTTTGTAGAAACATAAGTAGACCAATAGTGGCATTTCTTGCAGTTTTGTACATATTTCAGTATAGTGCATAAGTAGGTATATTCATAAATCAATAAAAGGAGTGTCTTATTGAAACAAGCAAAATCACAACAAAAATTGCTATTCCTTCACCTCGTTTAAATTTTATTTTTTTAAATTTCTTTCTTTTAGTGTGATTTTTATGATGTGCTTGCATGATTGTCTTATTGCCAAGGTCACAAATGCCCTGAAGAATTTACCCTGAGGACAACCTTGACATTAAAAATTCCCTTATAAAAAGTAATCCATCATCCTTAATAAAATAATATTATTACATGAGCCAATAAATTTATACCTTTAATCCCCTTTCAATAACACCTTCTTTATCACCTAAACAGTTTTAAAATGTGCACTTTATCTACACATTGAAATAGAAGATATCTTATTCTTATACACTTAGATACAGTGTAGCTCTTCTTTGTAGTTTAGGGAAGTGTGCAATAGTTTAAGAATGTACACAGTGCTTGAAAGAGAGCAATAAAAATGCTTTGTATGGTGTGCCATTATTAGACACTTGAAAAATATAATTTCTATAAGTTCTGCATTACCCCTTCATGTCTGACTATAAATTATAAACCTATAAATATGTACATATGTAAAAATAATTATATATAACAGTTTCTGCAGGACAAAAGAAGATTCATCTATACCTTTGACAAAAGGCTGCACCTACATTAATGGTACCAGTTTTATTAAAATTAATTGTAGATCAGAAAATTTATTATTATCATTATACCTAATTTTAGTTTCATTGTTAAAATCTTATTTGAGACAATGATGTCCTGATTCTCTGATCAGGATTTTCTATTATTTCTCTAACTTGTTGTATTTTTCACACACATTTTAATCTTTAAAAGTTGAGATAAATCACAGGGAGCCTTTGGTCTTGCTGAAGAAAAGGAAGATGCTCCATAGAAGGGGATTTTAAATGATAAAAGTGTAGTCTTTATAATTATTCTCTCTTCCATAAACTACTTTAAAAACACAAATTAAAAATGACTAGTTTGTCAGGAAACATGTTTTTAATATAGTAAGTTCTCTTTGGCCCATAACATTATGCCTATTTTATGTAGTCATGCATATACATAAAGAGTTATAGTATGTACAAAATGTAGACAAATACATGTACATATATAGAGGTATATTCTCATTGTTATATAGCTATTGCTCTGACTCAGCTATTTACTCCACTAATATATTTTATTTTTACCTCCTACTATGTGCTGTGCAGTGGGGAGGGTGTTAGTACTGCTCATATTACATCCACAGAATTTAGTTAAAATTAAAGTACATTGCACATTCTTATACAAACTTAAAATCAAAGACTCTGTTGAACACATAAGGGAATTCAGCACTGAGAGTCGTTTCATTAGCCATCAGATCACTGTGTGCTAGAATGACAGCTGTTTCTCTCTATTCTCCAATCCGTGCTCCTATTTGTTTGAATATAAAAATAGAATTACTATAACCATTCTATGTTGTTTTACCCTTTAGTGATTTGTTTTAAGTGGCAGTCTTCATGTTTAGCAATCTTTTCAGGGATCTCTGTACTTTGAATTTATCTCAGGTTTGAATAACTGATCCCCTTGAGCTATATTTGCTTAAATAGTTCATAGTTTATTTTTTAAAAAAACACAGAAACCATTGTTTCATTCACATTATATATATTATATATAATGTGTTTATGATGTGGCTGACTTTATATTCCTGGTTGAGGGAACTGAACTCTGCCATGATGCCGTAGATTGCAGTGGGGCACCACACCTCTATGGAATCTGTGGCTTGTGGCTATTTGACTTGGGCAGGGTCCGTCATCAGTCCAATGGGAGGGTGAGGGGAGCAGTTTAAGTCACCTCCTGCAGAGTCGTGGTTCTTCAGCATCTGTTAAGTGTTTTCTTCAGGTCCTCCATACTTGATGCACTCAGACAATGCCTGTGATACACTAAAATAGGTATTACTTACTTTGATATCTGGGACCATATTAATAGGTTTATTATACAAGTTGTCCATGTTATTAGTCTTCTGGCATTCCTATATTCATCAGCAAATTTTGAAGCAATTGCCAAATTTTTCATATAAAAAGATTCAGAATTTCAGGGGAATCATAAGATGACCCATTGCTACTTTACATTTCATTTATTTTCCTTTTAATTGAGATTTCTTTCATAGGCATCTTGGACACTGAGTCATACAATTTAAATTAGGGAGGGTGCAGTTATTTTGGACACCTGCATGCCTGGGAAACCAGGACACTACAAAACAAATCACTAATAGTGACATGGGCAAGACAAATCGTGATATTTTCCTCTTGTATCCATGCTTTAAAATTAAATTTGATATTTAATAAATATTTTAATATTCATTATCTTGTGTTATCAACATTATATGAAAATGCTAATATTTTTATTAGTATTAAGCACTCACAATTTAATTAATTCAAAGACAAAGTTAGGGCCTCAAAAAACAGAAAAGAGCCTGGCTTCTGTGGCTCAGTGGATTGAGCACAGACTGCAAACCAAAGGGCCGCCAGTTGGATTCCCAGTCAGGGCACATGTCTGGGTTGCAGGCCAGGTCCCCAGTAGGGAGTGCATAAGAGGCAACCACACACTGATATTTTTCTCCCTCTCCCTTCCCTTCTGTCTAAAAATAAATAAATAAAATCTTTAAAAAAAACAAAAGAGAGAAACCCACCAGATTAATGAGCTGTTGCTAATTAAACAATGTGAAACATTTTCCCTTTTTAATTTCCTAATGAAGAGGAGACATTATATACACACACACATAGAAGTACCTAATAGTCATGATTCTATCAAAGTATGAATCATGATTAAACCATAAAGTTCATATAAAAGACATATTGGGAAGGTAGCATTAATAAATTATTCAATATTTACTTAGCAGAATTTTATATCATGTTCCATAAAATTCTTAACTTCCAACTTATTTAGACCATTGTCCTCAATTATATTTAGCTGAAATATTTTGTTTGTATATATGAATAAAATTTTATTATATATGTAATATTATACTCCACTTCAAACCACTCCCTGCATATTTTATTTAATTCATTACATCCTAACATTGCCAGTAGGGAAGAACAGCAGGTCTGTGTTTTAGTTCATAGTAACAGCCCCAAAGAACCCTTAGGTCTTAGCTTTGATTAGAAGTGTGTGTGTGTGTGTGTGTGTGTGTGTGTTTGTGCGTGCATGTGGGTGTATTTCCTAGGTATGAAGTAACATTTTGAGAAATTCTGACAAATTTGTGAAATCTAAACCATTTATTTTAACAGATTCAATCATAAACATAGCTCTTATTAAACTTAGTCAATAAAATAGCTTATTCACTTAGTCAATAAAATAGCCTTTTCAATAGATTTGTAACAAACTTATTAATGGGAATCTGTCTTGAGCTATGTAAATGGTTAGAAACCATCCTTCTTGTAAAGGTGTAAACATTTTTTTCTGAGGTACTTCTAGTCAATTGTTTTGAGCCATTAAGTTAAAAGTGATATCACAATTCCGCTTTTAAGGCAGAATAGAAAAATCCTTTAACTCCAAGTTTCTCAGTGGAAGTTTGTGAAAGCTTTCATTAAATTAAACACCTGGTGGTTCATTTGCAAATATGAAGTCATCTACATTCACAACTGGTCAGTTTCACAACTTTTTTGAACTGAAGTAGGTCTAAGCATCTTCCTATAGAGAACTCACCTAAAGCCACATGCTACCACTCCGCGCTAGTCAGCGTTTCAGACCCTTTGCATCTATGACCTCGCTCAGTCCTCACAACAGCCGCAATCACTGTGTGATTCTTCATGTTGTGGAAGTTTAGAATTTCTAAATAGTACACCAACATGCTAGTCTAACACCTATTTTGGGCAAAGTGAAAAAAAAAACCTATATTTTTCTTTGCTTTAATTCAAATATATATTCATACGTTTTTGGGAGCATCAATCTAATAAGGCTACTATCTGATTTTCTACACAATAAAACCAAGCAAACCTAAAAACTGTACAGCAACCAATAATCTACTTTTGTGAAAATAGCTATTTACTAACATTTGTTACAATTTAGATTTTGAGAATACAGCTCATTTTTTCTTTTTGATCCATAAGTACTTATAATATATAAAATGCTTAAAGTTGATTAAGCACAGAAAAGGAACACTTTCCTAGTTTATTTTCATTTCTTTTTTGCCGGTTATGTTAGGGGTTGGATTGGTTTTTATTTACCATATTGTTGGTTTCATAACATTTTAATCCACTGGACTCCAAATACTATATATTTATTTTATTGAACAATTTGTTACAAATTACTATTAATAGAAAGAAATTCAAACTGACCCCAAATAAATGTCAGCGCTGGGGCTGTAAGTGTTGAATTAGCTTAGTTGGTGTGAAAAATTGAAATTTTTCATTCACGCTGTCGGATGCCAGTCTGTATTACCAGAAAGATGAGGACCTCTAACAAAAGTGTATCTGTGAAAACGATTGGTCCTAGGAAAGCAAAACCAAGTAGTTAGAATTACTTTAGGAATAAGGCGTTACAGATCACTTCCGATTACTTTATATTCTAAGTGGTCAGCACAGTAGTGGGAGCGCTGGTCTCCGTTCTGCATCCGCGGAGTGCGTAAGAAGTGTGATGTGTGATCAGGAGGCCTAAGGGGAACTGAACTCGCGGCAGTTTTCATGATTTAAACTTGACCGTCTATGGACAAGTTCTTCATTGTTTGTTGAACTTGGATGCTTGAGCCATAACTGATTTCAAGTTTCTTGGTGTCTGATTTTTTTTTCAAGATTTTTCTGAGCAGATGTGATTTGGTTTCGTGTGCTCCTAACTGAGGAATGTGACCATCATGAAATATTTCCTTCAAGGTGACATATGTGGAAACTTTAAAAAGCTATGTATTTGTTGCTAAATTAGAAAATGAAAAAAAAACAGAAAAGACTAAAATATTTTTCCCTTGCTACAAATCAATTTTTAAAAAGTTGTATGCATAAAGAATGCATGATGAAGTTCCAATGGTTATCTCTGACTATTCACATGAGGTGAAATTTGAAATTTTCTGGGTGACATTACCCTTGTGTGGTGGGTCTTCTAGTTTAAGGAAATAATTCAGGAGCTAATATTTATTTGTGACCTTGTTGTAATTGGGAAAAATCACTATTTTTATGTAAGATAATTTGACCTTTATTGAACATGTCATTATGCTTGCTGTTTAAAAAGTTCCTGATTAATTGATTACATGCAAATTAATGCTAAGCATTATCTTTTTGTACTTATTAAAATTAATTTAAATATATTTGATCTGAGAATTGTGTTTTTTGTACTTTAATCCTTATGTGTTTGCTTCAAGATGTGAATTTATTGTAAAACTGACTTTTTATATTGGGATATAAAACTGGTATTTTGTAATAGTGGTTTTAAACATTGTTTGTTTCTTAAACTTCTTTTAAAAATAAAAAAATCATAGGGCAAACAGGAAAAGTATAAACTTTTTCTGAAATTTTAGAGGGAATCATGAATTGCTAATGTTGACCTCTTTAACACATTAAGAGAGCAGTGCTATGGAAAATAAAAGTTCACCCAGAAAATTGACTGCATTCTATCATAAAAGTGTCACATTTACATGAAACTATTAAATAAAATAAATAAGATTCTCTATTTTAGGTAGACTCAGGTCATCAATCTATTTGTAAACTAGAAACATTACAGTTTTACAGTTGGATATAGTCTCTTAATGCAGTTTGATTTAATCAAACTCTTTAATTAGAGCTCCTCTTTTGATTGTTGTTATTTTTACCAATATCACTGAAATCAATTACTTTTAATTGTTAAAATGGTATAATTCTAGAGCAGTCTTTTATTAATATGGTAATTTATCATACAATATTTCTCAGCCCTAGGCACACCTTAAACCATCTGAGGCCAAATCAGTAAGAAGGAATTTTAACAGTCTTGAAAGGAGTTATGAAAATTTTAAACCCCCCAAATAATTCCATGGAACAGCTATGTGTATACATGTTTTCCTTTTATAAACCTATGTGTGGGCTTTTTCTAATGTCTGCTTGTTTTTTTGGATAGCTATGCTTGCTTTTCTGTAACTTTTAGTTGAACCTATGTTTGGAAAGAAAAAAAGAACCAACCAGAAAACAACATGAGCGTTACAGGTTAAATTTACATCCAAGACAGTGAATTTATGACAATATCAAACCTTGTACAACCAGGTATTCATTCTTGAAATTTTATTATCTAGTCAGTTAATTAAAATTACTACTACTCTTAATTTGTACCCCATAGACCTATAGTTAATTATAAACAATTGAGTATAAACATATTATCATTGCCATTTTCAGCTTATGCTTTTTAATGATATATTTTAAAAAATGTTTACCCTAATGTGTTTTTTCTGTTTGCTTGGGGAAAGCCTGCTCAATTCAAATAATATGGTGAGTATCTATAGCTCCAAATTCATACATCAGTAAAATTGAAGCCAGCAAAACACTACATTCTTTAATAGCATTCAGCTAGTTTCTCCAATATCAATTTATAGCCCAGGCTTTGTCAAATTCATGTAAATGAAAACAAACATGTCATTAAGGAAGCATTTATGTCATCTTTTCTCTGAAGGATTTAGAAAGGGAGGAACTAAGATTTCATAGGGCCCTTGCCAGTAAAGAAAACTGCTGAGAAGGCAATAAGAGAAAATGCAGTTGTCCATGAAGATTGCTGCCCTGTCAGATGGAACTAGACTTACATCTTTTTGTTAGTCCTCACTGGGGACATGCTTATTGATTTTACAAAGATGGGAAGGGAGGGAGAGAGGGAGAGGCCCAGCTATGTGAGAGAAAGATCAATTGGTTGCCTTTCTTACACATCCCAACAGGGGAGCCTCTTGAACATGCCTTAACCGGGACTGAACCAACAACCTAGGTAGGTGCCCTGACTAGAAATGGAACACAGGGGACCTTTTGGTTTATAGGATGATGTTCCAACCAAGTAAGCCACATTGGTCAGGGCAGAACTGGTCTTATATTCTAAGACTTGTGCTTGATATTAAGTCTTAGAGGTTTTTAGATGCAGAGAAAAAAGTAGAAAAATGAAGAACCAGATAAAGTAGTAAAAATAGCACTAAATCCCTCAATTGCCCCTTGAAGAACATTAAATTTTATCCAGCAGAAGGCGGCGTGGGGCAATACATGCTGATGGATGGAGACTTGGGGTGGTGAACACACAATACAGTATATGGATGATGTGTTGCAGAATTGTGCACCTGAAACCTGTATAATTTTGTTTACCAGTGTCACCCCAATAAATCATAAAATAAATAATGAAAACTAAAAAGATTTTAATACATTGAAGAAAATGGGGAAATGGGTACTTTAAAAAGATAACCTTTGTTTAATTTCAGTGAACATTTTGGAGCTTAATTTCTTGAAATTAATTTACCTGGGAAAATTTGTTATTGTGGAACACTGTGTTCTATTAAAAAGGCTTGAAATTCCATAACATTCACTTCATGAAATAATAAAATAATCTAAAGAGATTTCTTAAGATGTAGAATAATAAAAAATATAAATTAACAATGGAAGGATATCAGCTTTGAATTGCTCTTACTTTACTTCCAAACTAAAATACACATAAAATGCCAAATAGATAAGAATATAAAACAATTTATCTTTATTTAAAGTCCAACATGTCCCTCTAAATGAGATTACAGAAAGATTTCAGTGGTTGTGTATTGAGATATCCTAAGGCTCAACTCCAGTCCAACCCATTCCAGACAACCAAATCTGTACCCAGGAAGAAAATGTTTCTAATTTTCTCATGCCTTTCCATTTTTACTTTACATACTTATATTCCTATTTTTGAAATTCTAGTATCCCATCCAGTAATTATAGTGAACATTTTAACTCTTCAAGACAACTCTAGATAGTTTCAAAGTTAAGGTAGAGTATTATACAGAAAGTTGTATTGGACTTGGTAAAAGTCACTATCTTAGCCTTATATTTCTGACGAAGAGCAAGAGCAACTTCCAGGTAATGTGAGCACAGGAGGAACTCAGGGAAAGAGTATAAAATGTCCTATAGTAGTAAAGATTAAAGCCCCCAAACTCAGGGAAGGGAGGAGTGGGATACAGACTTTATTGATGCTTTGGAATAACAAGGCTCACTGCCTATCAAGCTTGTTCACATTTGTAAGTAACATAATCTGAGAGAAGCAGTTTGGTCCGATCAGCTGCATTATCTACAGTACAAACAATACGCACAGCTGCTGGGCCACTCTGCTGGAGGTAGAGAGGCAGCACCCAGGATAGAGGGGCCAGTGCTCAGCACACACCTCAAAACATTGATGACTATAGTCTAGTAAGATTTTTGTGTTACTTTGAAAACCTCCAAAACTCAAAATGAAATTTAAAAATATTTTTAAAGGGGAAAAATATAAAAGACTCTCTCCATGTTCATATACTCATTGTATTTTCCAACTGATATAACTCTACTTAAGGATGAATAAATTTATAGTTGAACTGTTAATATTCACATATCCAAATGTATACAACATAAAAGCCTAACTAATTAACATGTAGGAGAGCAGAGAACACATATATTCCATAGATTTTGGTAAATAAATCTCTTATTTAAGTTACTCATGCTTAGTTTCAGCAGGATGAAAAACCATCTGTGTTACTATGCTCACCATTGCCCTATCAGCACAATCCCTCAAAAGTGAAGGGGATTGGTGGCTCAGGTAAGTGAGTCGTGACCGAGATAAAGGGTCCTCCTAGGAGGCAAATTTTTATTTATCTCTAAAGAAATGTATCAGAAGTTGTATTCTGGTAGACAAAAGTGTACTTTACTAGAAGAGTGGAAAGAAATTACGTTTCCATCACAAGATGTAGGAAAGCAATATTCTATTGGTGTTCATTTTTTTCAATGTTAAAAGTTGTAATAAGATATATATGTGTGTATATATATATATATATATATATACACACACACACACACACACACACATATGAAACACATAAATGTTACCCTCTTAACCATGTTAAGGGTATGGTTTTGTAGTATTGGGTACATTCACATTATGGTGCAACCATCACCAACGTTCATTCCAGAACTCTTTTCATCTTGTAAATCTGAACTTCATACTCACCGAACAAAAGCTCCCCATGAGCTCCTCCTCCCTCTAGTCCCTGGCAACCACCTTTCTATTTTCTCATTTTCCTTTTAAACCCGCCATATCCTAGGCTCTAAAATCTCCTGTTCTACTCTCCATTACTCTAAGTTCAGCTTTTTAATTTCTTTTTAGATTCCATATATGAGGACAAAATTTTCATGTCACTTTTGTTCTAAAAGTTTTGGAAAGGGAGGAGCTGAGGTTTCAAAGGGCTTTGGTGTTAGTAGTTTTATCTTCTCTGTTTCCTATTCTAAAGGATCCAGGACTGGAAGGAGAAGCTTAATGCCAAATATCAATTATCCTGGCCAGGAATATTCTAACACAATTACAAACAATCAGTACCTCCACAGTGCAAGAACAAATAAGGCCAGAAGGAGAGGGTGGAGAGATGAGCAGAATGGGAATGGGACTGGAGCACAGGTTGTAAATGAAGGAGGAGTCCCAGGTGACGATCTACAGTGCAACTGCATCTTCCTCGTCATCATTACCCATTCTGCTCACAGTACATGCTGGGTGGCACCAATATGAGATAAAATAAATGTGATGAAATACAGTTATGAGAAGTGAATACATTATCATTTCAGTCAGAGAGTCACAGAAGAAGACAGTAGCAGAAGGCTAAAGTAATTAGTCTTGGAATTTGAGTATCACAAACCTGCAATCCAGATTTGAACACTTGGTCTTCCTTGTTAACAAAAAAATAGAATTGGTCATTTTCCCTTCATATTATATTAATTTGTATATATAATTTGTATATATAGCTAAATATATGGTTGTTCTATCACTGCTTCTTTATTCATAGGCAATAGTTTCTATAATTTTTATTTCACAGATATTTTGATACAAGAATAGGCTGACATCTAACAGATTTGATGTAAGCTTAACTTATTTGATTAGCATATTTCAAGGTAGTACAGTATTAATTTCTAAAAGCAGCATTTAATAATTTTACTATTTGCTCAGAAGAATGAAGTTCTGTTTATACAGGATGTCACTATTAATGACTCATTTTTAAGCATACATTATTATAATTTTTATAATATTGAACATCAGTACTTTAAATTTGATGAAGTTATAGCTAATTTTTATAACAATAGAGCTAAAACATTAGATAATAATTTA